TTGACCATGCTGAATTATCAAAAGAGACTGTGGCAGTATCCAGCTTACACATTCCTCAATGCCAATAGCATTAGCTTGATTTCCTAGAAAACCTGTGAGGCAAGTGAATGCTAATGGTTTGATGTTAAGAATCCCTTATGCACAATCTAATTTGCATTAGTAAAATTGAAGTGTTTGATACTGCCCTATCTAAAACAATGTATGAGCTATTTTAGTCCACACACAATGATGTAAAAACTTCTCAATGACATATCAAAGATTTGAAAAGTCGATTGGGAAAGTTTTGCCTCGAAAACTGAACAGGCACTTTCTGTTGAAAGAGGAGTCTAAGAAGCAAGTGTAGCCATGTCATTTGAATGTATGTATTTGGTCAGCTGCGCTATTACTCTCAGCCAAGACAGATCCAACAGGGCTGTGCTGGCAGAGTGAATTTGTCGTCTCCTGCTCTTCTCACCATGTGAACTCTGCATGCAGTGATGCTAGCATACCTTGGAAAAAGTGAGGAAGGGAAGAAGATGACCTTTGTGAGCATTTTGCCACAGGTGTGCACTTATGAAAAGAGACTATGACTAGCAATTACAAATCGAGTGCAAAGGAATAGTCCCTATAGTGCAAGTCAAAATATATAGAAACAACCAAAAGACTAATATTCTAGATAATCCTTTGCTTTGCTTATTGGTATATAGGCTCCCCACAGTGAAATAAAATCAAATATGAGGAAGCAATAGACATTCAGTAAACACAGAAAGGTCAAACATTTTTTTGTCAGTTTCAATGGGGTGGCAAGTGATCCATTCCAGCTGTCAGATGTTAAGGGCCCGAAATCTACAATCTTCCTATGCACTTGTCATCTCTCACTGCTTGTCTTTAGTTCAGTGCCATTTTGCCTTGCCTTGTTCTTGTCCACCAGCTCCAAATACCCTTACAATTCCAGAGTTACTCCAATTTGTGCTTAGCGAATGAGATTAGACCATTTTTTTGGTACCTGGTCTTGGATGCTTGAATGAGGTCCTGCTGACTCATCTTCCATGCCTGATCTGAACAGTTTAGTTACAGACTTCATTTCCTGTTGGAACCCTGGTCTAGTATGGTGTGTTGCTTTACGGCATGGAGTGGAGATGGTGGTGGCTCATATTCAACCATCCACTAACTGCGGTTCTCCTGCAAGTGTTTTCCTTCACAGAAGCAGCTTTCACTTAAATGATGCTTCCCAAAGAGTTGGTGGCTTTTCATTTCTCCTCTGGAATGTAAAGAGGATTGAAGAGATTCAAAGTGCAATACAGCCATGCCTCTCGCCTTTTATTGCAGTCAATGGGATCATCATGCTATTGTTGAGATGCACAGGTGACTCTTCTAAGTGACAGAGGGGGCATGTTTCAAGGGCACATGTCAAAAAAGCCCTAATGAGCATTCCCCTGCGAGTGGAAACTTGCATTCTTAACAATTAATACTTCCACAGAGTTTGTTAATACAGAGATGCCTTCTCCTTATGAAATCCATTTTGTTGCTTCTTCTGTTGAAGAGAACACACTTGAAGGTTTTTAAAGTCTCATCCTCAATTTTGCCACACAAGAAAGCAAAAAAGCAGCCAATACCTGCTTCTTGACTGCATAGGAAAGTTTCTAATCTCTTTCTTTGCTAGGATTCCATAAAGCCATGGGGAGTTTGCAGAAGCATTTATCATCCTTCCTTATGCTCACTGGCATGCCACATTATTTCTTGCCATCTGTAGAAGTCAACAACCTCATATTGAACAGGAATCCCCCACCTTTGGAGACCTTGCCTCCAAGAAGGCTTGGAGCCATTGTATAACTAGGCTTCTCGGCCCCATCTCAGACTGATAACCCATGCACCACACAGGTTGCATTTGTTCTTACATGCCAACTAGATTGCAGAAGTTCACTCAAGGTTTGGATTTTCACATGAAACTAAGACAAGAGTTTATTGCATTGCCATGCAGATGAAACAGAATGATTTTCTGTTGGCAAGAACTTAGTTTAACTGTCATCACAAAAGGATACAGTGCTCAATGGTACTAAAAGCTGCTGAGAGGTCCAGCAGAACCAACAGGAACACAGTGCCCCAATCCATTTCACAGCACAGATTGCCCTCAAAGGGAGCAAAAGCAAGCTCTGCCCCATAACCAAGTCTGAAGCAAGACTGAAATAGTTCTAGTTTGTTTGTTTCTATTAATTTTTTAGCCTGCCACATTAGCCACATGACTCTCTGGGCAGGTTACAAACATAATCCACATCATCTGGAAATCCCTGTAGCTGAAAAGTCACTACATGGTCCAGCTCCTTGCTCATGAATGAATTATTATGAAATATGAAATGCAAGAAAGTATCCAACACAGTGGGTTTCAGGGAAAAATATTTTTAAAGGTCTTTAAACACCACTTTTAGGTAAGACAGACCCACAACTTGTTATGAAGAGGCATTCAGCATGACCCTTCCTGAATCCAAGCTAGAGTTGCTGCAGTACACAGTAATTCCACTTAATGTATATTTCCCATTGATGCTAATAGTAAATTTTGTATAGTACACGAAAGAAGTGGTAAATCACATTGGGGAATGAGATGATTTCATGTCATTCCATTTATTTCCTATGGTAAGTGCCCTAGGCATATAATATACCTACTGATTAAGGTGTACTGAATAAACCAAGTTAACAAGATGGGAACTAATAGAAATGCTTACATACACACCACAATTATTAGAGTGCTAAATGTTTTGTTCAAGCAATAGCCTACCAAATGAAAAATTATTTCCTTTTGCACTGAGAGAACTATCCATACTCAAATTCATGCCCTGACATCCCAATTCAATTTGCTAATTCTGGTTCTTTTGCTGCAACAGCTCTTAGAAATGGTTCTACTCAAGAGATTATAAGGTCACAGATGGAATACCCAATAAAACTGAAATGCTTCCCCACTGGTCCCTCTCTCAAACAGTCCTATTTGAAACATCCATTTTTAAACCTCGCTTCTCAGTATGATACTCAAACAGAACATTATGCAATTTGACTACATTTAGGAAGCTGAGAGATAGCTTTTCTTTACAATTTTACACACCACTGAAGTATAGACATCCAGAGAAAGACATCAGTGAGCCACCCTTCCACTAATCTGGAGCTTAACCAGTCTCTGCACAAGTGCATTTTCTGAATACCTGGTGCATTAACCTCCAAGCCTCTGTCCATTATCTTGATAGGGGTAGGCAATAGTCGCCCTAGCAGAACCCACTAGCCCACCCACAAGCTAGATCTCACTTCTAATGGCACCAGAAGGATAATTTTAAAATGGCATCCACAGTGACCCTCGGATTCTCTGATGTGGCCGAAGAACACAAAAAGCATCAACATTAGCATGCAAACAAACTAATTTTGATTCTTTTGATGCTCTGTAGCCACTACAGGCCCTATTTTCTCCTGGAATTTTTTTTAAAAATATATTTTTACCGATTATGGGGTAGAGGTTGGGACAGCTTGCACCCTGAAAGTTACATGCCCCCTGATTTAGAACAAGATCCATAGCTTACACTGTGAAGAATGTAGTGCAGGTGAGCCCAGCTGTTTCTTTCATCTGAGCAGCTTTGCCCACACATTTCCCCCCTTCGTCAGCCCAGTGAAACTGCCCAAAGTGGCAATCCAGACAGGATGAGGCCAGCTTGAAGGTGGCCATGCCCCTCCCACTGCTTCATCAACTGGTCTGCAGAGAAAGGGGAGCCAAGCAAGCAGGTGGGGGGGGGGGTGGATCACAGTAGCAATCCATTCAATGTGGCATACCTCCCAATAAATGTGTACAGAATTGCATTCTAAATTCCCAACTCTAATATTTTTGGAGGGAAAAATACTAGTCTACCTTATAAGGTTTTAAGGATTACCGAGTTAATACAGCAAGAAGCTGTGTTTAAAATGTAAATGCTAGGTAAACAATAGCAAACAACAGCAAGATCTATAGCACACTAATATATATGAATCTCCCCACCCCAACCATTCTAAGGTCTACATAGAAAATAATGGAATACATGTTATAAAATGGAAATGGAACAGCGAAAATGCAAATGGAATAAAAAGCACCCTAAACACCAAGTAGTGTTTCCCTAACTTTGCCAAGTCTAATTAAATAGGGTTATACTGACACAATGATTTTTGCAGTGTTAAGTTTTCCTGCCACATTCAAATCTGGTACAAAGGAATTCAGTCACTTGAATGTGGATGTCATCAGAAACAAAGTATTCAGTCTAGACCATGCCCTGTGCACTGCAATGTATGTACACAGCATTTGGGTGAACACAACTTCCCAGGTATGAGCTGGTGATCAATAATCATGGGGCAGGTATTTGATGGTTAGGGTAAATCTGTGTAGAAAGGTCTGGGACGGAAGCTCTGAGGTATGAATTACAGGGATAAAAATGTCTTGGGTTGACTTGATAATTATCTGATTTTACCTGGAGAGGGGAAGCAGCACATTTTAAAATAATCCCTATCTCCTCTCTTGCCTTTACCTTTGAAAACCTGATAGAGCTGGAGGTTCAAATCACACAGAGAGGTAGGACTCAACGCATCTCCAACCCTTTGGTGAATTGATTAACGGCATGTAGAGCATAAAGTCCAGTGACTCCTGAGGGATGCAATTCTACCAAAGGCTGTTACAGCAGGAAGGAAGAGGAAAAACACCTGCAATGCCTATCAACTTTCAGAAGGTAATGGGAAGAAAGGAGTATGTTCTGGAGTGTCAGGGCTGGCAAGGTGAGCCATAAAGTACTTCTTTCAGTCTGAATATTGAGCTAAGGTTGAGAGGGGAGTTTGGGGGCTTTATATTTTCAAATATATTTTGAAAACTGGTGCTTTAATTATAAGTGAAATTCATCATGGAAGGCATTTCTGTATGGGTACATGCAATTTTTAAACATTAAAATGATAATTCTCTAAAGTCAGGGTGAAATTTGTAACATTTAAATCTTTATGATAAAATAAGATCAGAAACACAACAGTACCTCATTAGCATGCTGCAGCTCATCGGCAAATTGACTGACTTCTCTGAAAAGCAGGGATATTGCGAAGTTCCTTAGTATGCTGCATCCCCCAAGCAAAACAAGGGCATGAGATATAGAATCCTGCATCTGAAACTGAGTAAAAGTATCAGTCAGCTTCACCCCATTAAAAAAAATAACTGCAAAGAAGTTAAAATGTGTTGTTATACTTGGATGTTATATTTGGAACACTTAAAAGATTGGAAGGGATTGAACAAGCAAGCCCAATACAGAGCTATTCTTGAAGTGTGATATAGTTGTATGATATCACGGTACAGGTCACTTACAGTGCAATCTCAGGCATGTTTACTCAGAAGTAAGTACATTCAAGTTTGATGGGATTTATTCACTACAAAGTGCCTTTCGAATTGCAGCTCAACTTACTGGAGCAGGTCTTTCTCATTTCAACGAAGCCGTTTTGGAACAGCTTGTGCTCAATTAAACTTCACCAATGTAATTGTCCATGAATGCCATGTTAAGTTTAATGTTTATACTGGTATCTAACAGAAATGTCAGGGAACAGAAGGCTTAATATGAACTGGTTTTGCACCTTACCACATTGATGTATAGTCACCTGGCTGTATTTAGAGCTGCCCGCCCACACATTCGCACTCCCCTCTCAACTTTACCCCTTCTACAATCAACTCTCCACAGAAACATCCTGCTCATAGGACTGGCACCGAACCAATTTCATGAGAGAAGCACATTTTGGATGAGGTCCATCTTTTGGAACAGACTTGAAGGCAGGCTTCCTAGGCAGATCCAGAAGGCACTGTACTGTATTCCTTTCCCAGCTCAGCCCAGAACCCACTAGAAAATAGTGGGCTTTGCATCCATTCAAGAATTGTCTCTGTCTATCAGCAAAACTCAAGCTCCCATCCTGGCACACTTCCAGATAAGAAGAAATATTCCATTAGGGTGTTAAAGCCTATGACATGGATTCCAATATGGGAAACCATTTGTTTTTTGATGCATGCTTGAAATGGTTTGCTATCTATCATCTCACTTTGTTTCATCTAGTACAGTGATGGCGAACCTTTTAGAGACCGAGTGCCCAAACTGCAACCCAAAACCCACTTATTTATCGCAAAGTGCCAACACTACAATAAAACCTGAAAACTGAGGTTTTAAGTTTAGAAAAAACACCTCACAGCCAGTCCACGCTAATATATATATATATATATATATATATCTCCTTGGCAGTGCACTGACTGGCCAGGAGAAAGCTCGGACAAGTAGTGGCTAATGAGTCATGGCTCATGATGTTATCACCTGGCACCTCTAATCCTTTCCGAGCATGTGAATGGCCCCTGTATTCGCTGTTATGCGATGTTTGGCTGCTGAGGTGATACTGGGGTGCCTTGGCTTATATGCCTGACCCTGGTGCAATCGCCTAACCCTAATATAGAGATAAAATACCATTGAAAAGAAAGCGATTTTGGAAAAGCCTTCCCTGAGTAGCTTTTTCTGCACAGCTCATCACTTCTGCCCATTCTAAACACATTCCAACCATCAAAATCATGTCAGGACACCTCCTTTTTCTAACCCTAACCCAGTGATGGTGAACCTTTTAGAGACCAAGTGCCCAAACTGCAACCCAAAATCCACTTATTTATCACAAAGTGCCAACACTACAATAAAACCTGAAAAGTGAGGTTTTAGTTTAGAGAAAACAACTCACAGCTAGTCCAAGCTAATACACACACACACTTACATACTTGGCAGCGCACTGACTGGCCATGGCAAACCTCAGACGAGTAGCAGCTAATGAGTCATGGCTTGTGACGTCATCGCCTGGCACCTCTACTCCTTTCCGAGCATGCGCATGGCCCCTATGTGCACTGTTATCTGATGCTCAGTTGCTGGGGTGATGCTGGGGTGACTTGGCTTGTGTGCCGACAGAGAGGGCTCTGCGTGCCCACTGTGGCACATGTGCCACAGGTTTACCACCACTGATCTAGTATATTTATTTCAGGGATGCATATTCTGCCATTGAAAAGAAATCTACAAGTTGGCTTGGAAAGTAAATATGCATTGAAAAAATGAATTTAACAATTAAAGCAAACAAAAATGGTTAGTTTGTTGTGATGACAAACACACATATCTCCAATTCAAATTAAACTGCAATCCAGGAGAAAGTTTTACTAAACGGCACTACCATCTGCCTTACCTCAGAAAGCGGGGACACCTGGAACATATCCTGGACTACCCCAAAGAACAGTCAGTCAGCTTCATATGGGAACAGACACTTCTTCAAACAGAAGACGGGCTATATGAAACCCCACCTCTGAAGAGGGCAAAGTTTTCTGTATGTTATGAAGCAAAGGGAGTGCCTTTTGAAAGAATTAAAAACTAGTTTTCAATTATCAAGTGTCCTAACAATTAACCAATGAAAGGCTAAAGTGTTTCAGATGCTGTTGGAAGCCAGTCAGCGTCATGGCTCAGTCCACTGCTGCAGAACCAGAAGTGGCTATACATTCTGGCAATAGGGTCTCGACGCTGGCACACATAGTAAGACTTAGTTCCTGCTCCAATCATATATTTCCCCCCAGTGCCCAGCACAGTGTTTTCATAGCTGTGCAAGAAACATGCTGCAATGTGTACACACATAATTAAACAATCTTTTGATGATTTTAATTGAAACCCACAGTGCTGGCACAATCTTATACCTTGATTTTAGGTAAGTAAGTAAACTTTTCTCAGTGGAACAGAGTCTTGTAGCTCTGTCAAGACCTTCCAGCTGTTCTGCAAAACTTCAGTGGCCAAGTTTGCACAGTCACAGCAGGGAAATAAAACATGATGGCTTATTTCCCCTACCACATATGCCAAGGGGATCTGCATAATTAACCTGTCCAGCATGGCTTGTAAACTTGGCAAGTATGGCTTACTGCCATGGTTGGCAGGCCACTCCACTGATTCTGGATAGCTTGTCAAGCCACAAGCACCCTTGCTAGATCTGCATGAGAGGGACAGCCATGCCAGTGCAAATGCAAACAGCATGTACGGTGGGGAAATAAGCAATGGTGGCTTATTTCTCCTGCATGATCAGGCAGCTATAGCCAGTGCCACTAAGAGCTTTACCTGATCCAGTCATTCTCTTATCAAAAATTCTCAGGCAGAAAAGCAGCAAGCAGCTAGGCCTGAGTTTAGACAGCTAGAGCTAATAAGGGGAGCACATGACATTTCTGGGAGAAAAGTGTAGCTGTAGTAGCAACAGCTGGTACTCACCAAGTTGCTTCTATAAAAACCTAGAAATGAGAATGAAGGAGAAGGTGGTGGAAAGGAGAAAAGTTAAGAGAAGACCAGCTGGTGAATGTTGCTTCCATGAAGGCAGAAACACAATCACTGCCAAAGACACAGGAAGAGTGCCACACCATCCAGGCCTTCCTTCACTGGGGTCCTGAATGGTCATCAAAACACCAGCTTGGCCTCTCTTTTGCACTGTCTGGTCCCACTGTCTGTCTAATCTAGATAATCATTTCCCTAAGATAGACAAAATCTATTGAAGGAGATCTGTGAAGTGATGGCACCTGAAAGGCCAGTTCTGCTAAAGAAAAGAGAGGAACACACTCATGGTTTAAAGACAGAAGGGGAGGTGGATTTACAGAGTTGTAAATCTAGATGCTCACTAGTCCTCAGTGCTGTAACACAAAGCTTACAGCACTTAATTGTGGACTCCTGGAATAACAGAGGCAATGGAAGAAAGTGTGTTTAATATAGCCCTTCCAAGGGACCCACACAAGTCTCCATGTAAACATTCATTTAATCTGTTAATGATCGATCTGACAATGACACATTACAAAAGATTCTTGGCTTCTGCTATGGAAAACAGCCACTTTTTTGTCCACTTGTATACAAATGTATGGCTGAAAAATACAATGGCCATCTTAAAATAAGATAGATAATACTGATAAATATAGAGCTAATTAATTCCAAGGCTAACCTCGGGATGCTGGAGCATTTTATCTGAATAGACTAGAATGTGGCCCATGCCTGATCTACTGTTCCATGGGATTCTACACTGTAATTAGAATGAACTTCACATTGCCCTTTCTACCTAAAGTCTATCTCTAGCCTCCAACCCACACTACCTTGAATTTCAAAACAGATTATCAGTAAAACTATCTAAGGTAGAGGCTTAATGTAGACCTCATTCAGTGCATCTGTGGTCTCTGAATTGGGTAGCTATCATGTTCATTGTTCTTTACATTGCCAATCTTCAGCAGGACTGTTAAATGTAAAGATCTGAAGAGCTGTTTTCCAGGTAAACAATTTCTCAAGAAAATATCTCAAAAAGATCTGTAGGATAATTGTGAACCAGATGTTACCTGAATTATATTGTATTTTGGGTGTTGTGCACCATCTCTCTCTTCCCCAAGCTTTGCCCTTTGATTTCCCAGTAATTCAAGACTAGAGACTTTCAACTACACTCTTCTATTATGTTAAAACTGGCCAGCCAGGACTGGCTTTGTAGTTCAAAGGGAACAATATAAAGGTTATTAGGAAGAGGCATCTCTCAAGTTAATATGCCCTCTAATTGCAGATGTTGATTCTGCACAAGCTAGATGTTGATTCCATCTTGAACCAGTCATCTTCCTTCCCCACCAAATGGAGTTGGTTCCCCCCTTAGGGAAGTTCACATTGCTTGTGGACCAGAGAGCATAAATGTTGGACATCACGTCATTGAACTGTTGTCATGATCTGGCACTGAATCAGTGGGTTAAGTTGCACTCCTGCCCCTTTGACCACCCCTGTCCACAATGTCTCCCCATCAAGCAGAAACAGTCCGGTTCTCAACTATCACTTGGCTTATCTCCCAAGCTCCTTGCTGGCCTTTCCAGTTCAGCCAACCACTCTGGTCCCAGCATTTCTTCCAACTCAGATTCGGAGTTTGAATTCTACCTTGGAATTTTCTATTTTGAGAGAAGCGGGCCTAGTTTCTACACTGGGTCTGAAAATTCGGTCAGCACCACTAGCTCCCACTGTGCCTGATTCTTATAGTGCTTTGTCCTTCCGACCATCATCTCTTCATTTTGCATCAGCACAATGAAATCTGGGACTAGGAGTTCTTGCAAAGCATGTTACATAGGGATGCA